TGGACAATCTTACCTAGGTCTATGCAGTACAAAAATTTTATAAATAAATTGTTATAGGTGTTACTTATACAATGTACTACTTGGGTGGGGCCAATGTTTATTTGAAAGGGATGATTTTTAATAAGAGCAAAATGTGATGGAAAAATGACACAATATGAAAATAGTCACAGCCAGTTAATACAGCACAGAAAAGCTTCCATGCCACTAAACTGTGTTTTATTTGTCTATATGTATTTTATTGCCAGGTATGGTGGTGCGCGCCTGTAATCCCAGCACTTGGGAGACTGAGGCAGGAGAATTGTTGCAAGTTTGAGGTAAATCTGGGCTACATAGTGAGTTCAGGGGTAGCCTGAATCATACAGCAAGATCCTGTCTCAAACCTCAGCTCTGCCCAAAAAATGAAAAACGAAAAAAAAAAAGATATGTTATGTATGTAAAACTAATAAATCTTTTAAAATAGTAAAATAAACCAGGCATGGTATTGCAAACCTATAATCCCAACATTCTGTCAGGTTGAGACAAAAGTATCAAAAGTTTAGACTTAGTGTTTAGCTCAGTGGCACAAGTGCCTTCCTGATAAACACAAAGTCATGAGTTTGATCCCCAGTACCAAAAAAAAAAAAAAAAAAAAAAAAAAAGTATCAAAAGTTTAAGCTTAGCATGGGCAACTTAGCAAAGACACTTTCTCAACATTAAAAAAAAAAAAGCCTTGAGACAATAGACTCAGTGTGAAGGCCTTGGGTTCTCAGTAATGAAAGCTCAAAAGATGTGAAACAAAGTGAACATTTTCTTGCGTCACAAACTCTTTGAAACTGATAGGTTTTTATACAGTATGTATCAATATACTTATTGCAGTTATTCAAATCATACCTTTATTTTATATTTGGGTTATGGTATATGTTTTTTAAATGTTTGATTTAGAAGTCCTATCATATATATATATATATATATATATATATATTTTTTTTTTTTTTTTTTTTTTTTTTTTGAGATAGGGTTTTGCTTTGTAGCTCACATTGGCCTTCAACTTGTTTATGCAGCCCAGGATAGCCCTGAGCTCACAGCAATCTTACTCAGCCTCCCAAGTGCTGGAATTACAGGCACATGCCATCAGTCCTACCACATTCTTGAAAGATGTGAGTTCAAAAACTGAAAACATATATAGAAAACTATTTGGCAGTTATTATCTAGTGTGGATAGATCTTTAACTCTACCTTGAAACTGTTTAGCTATTTCCCCTTTCGAAATAAAGTAACTTTCACTTATTTTGCCAAAGTTGAAATATTTTAAAATGTACGTATTTTAAATTATGTTGTTAGCTTTATTAGATTTTGCCAAAAGTGAGAATGAATATGTATGTTGTGTAGTCTTTCCAGTTACCAATTGGCTTAATTACATTATTAAATGCAGTAATTTCTTCTTTTATGGATAAGTATTTTAAATTATGATTATTTTTATTCATATATACTTTGGGGGTAGTAATTTCTTCTTGAACTAATTAGGTACACCATTATCTTTTGAATTCAGCTGATAATTATTAAGGATCACTTAAAATTTTAGATTATTGATATAAGTAAAAACTGCATAATGTAGGATTATAAAGTCTAGGTTTTTCCGTGTCTTAAGCATGTATATGTTCACTTAATAAAATGCACACTTGATTGAGTATCACTGTTCTGGAGCTGCTATTATGTCGTTATAAATTCAATAGTTATTATTAAAATTATTGAATATATACACACACACACACACACACATAGATAATGTTCAAAATACCATGTCAGTTCTTTCAGGTGATTAAAAAAATGTATGTACTCTGTATAGAACATATTCTAATCTCATACTTAACACTCAATTTTGTGCTTCTTTCAAAGATTTTTTATTAGACATCATTTAATTTAACCAAATAGTGAGTTCAAATGTGAAAAATGTAATTATTCTAATAAATACAAGAAATTAAAATGTTTGTGAATGAAATAAATGACAATAAAATAGAAAATAAAATAATATAGGTAATAGATGATGTTCGTTTTCTTTCTTTCTTTCCTTCTGACATGGTCTTGCTATTTAGTTCAGGCTGGTTTGGGCTCACTATGTAGCCCAGGCTGGCCTGGAACTTAAGGTGACCCTCCTACCTCAGCCTCCTGTGTGCTGGGTAGCAACACAAGTGCACACATTAAAAGATAATCCTCTTGAATTATTGTTACAAGTGTCAAGAAAACAGTAAGTATAAGTCCTGTCATGACAGTGTACAGGGAATGCATGTGCACTATTTCTTTATTGCTTTAACTTTTTTTGTGAAGAATGTTGAATGGTGACATGATTTTACAGAAAATTGTTTAATTTTAATACTTACTGCTATTATAAACCTTATCAGGCTGAGGAAGAGCAGTTGTCCAATTCAATATGTTTCACAGGCAACACTGACTATGTTACCTAAATTATTACCTTGACTATATTATAAATACATATATACATATACATTAATCATAGTAGCATATATCTATGCATATGCATAGGTAAGTCTTAGCATTACTAAGTGAACACAAATCAAGTCAACTGACTTAATTTTTAAGAACCACTGAATCTTGTGTAAGTTAAAACAGCTACGGCAACTACCAGAGACTTCAAAATATATATTGTGACTATATATTAAAATACATTTCAAATACTCAAGGAATTGGGTGCGTTGTTCTGTGGTAAAATATTTGCTTAGCATGTGTACGATCCTGCATTCCATTCCCAGCATCACAAAAACAAAACCAAACAACTCAAACAATGTGAGGCTGTAAATATATCTATCTATCTATCTATCTATCTATCTATCTATATATATATATATATAAACTCTTAGTAACTTTTTACGCAGTGAAGATTAATGTATTCAGTATTATTTATAAGATACAACTAGTCTCTACCTTTTCATGTCATTAATATGCCCTGGCAAGGTCAACCTTATGAAGTGAAGTAGACGAAGACCTTACATCACGAGATGGTATTTGAGGCATACTTCCCTTTCAGCTCATCCAGTGATGCAATTACCAGAGCCACACTTTTATTGTTAAAATATGCCTTTCTCTGGATGAGGTAGAACTGGACAACTTTTGCCACTTTAGGAGAAATTCGCTTATAAAATATTCTCTGACAACTGGATTAGAAACAGTCATCAACAAGCATATGTACAAAGGCAGGAGAGAAGCAAAGCACTTAATATAGAGCTGTGGAGACTCGGCACATAGAGGTGGAAAGACAACACGTAAGGCTAATCTTGATCTTGACCATTGGACAGGACTTACAGTGTCGTTGATATATGAAAGATGACCTTCTGAGAGCGTTCTTTGAAGCCTGGGTGTGTAAACTTACCTGAACATCCATGTTGTCCTATTTCACCAACACAATAAAAACATCTGCAGGTACACTTGGAGCTTCACAAATTTATCATGTGCAAACCAGTACAATCACTGGGGATTGCGAAAATTTCATACATTTTACTTTTCAAATTTCCCTATAAATTCCCTTTTGGACCCTTTCCCCAGCACACACATGGAAAAGTCTTTAGAGCATCAGAATTCTTTCACTGCATATTAAATAAAGGAAATAACATTTTTGCCATTATTTTAAATGGTGATTTGTTAATAACAAAGCATTATGGTTTGATGTTGGCCGTTCCATGGATGCATTTCAATGCAGCCATACTGATGCGACTGTCTTTGATGGAAAATCTATTTTACACTTTTTAAAATTTTTTCTCATCTGTAGCAGACAGTTCCAACACTGTCCCATCCTTAACCTCTCAAATTTTGATGGGATTGCATTTTTCACTTTATTTTAGTATTATTTAATTTCTTTTATATAATAAGTAGATATTAATATTATACTAAAAGTGTCTGTTAAAATTTTAAGCTAGACTTAATCTCAGGTACCCTGAAAGCTGAGACAGGAGGATCACAAGTTTGAGGCTGGCCTAGACAACTTGTTGAGAACCCATCTCAAAATAAGACATAAAAGGGCTGAAGATGTAGCTCAATGGTAGAGCACATATCTAGCACATATAGGCCCCTGGTTTCAACCTTCAGTACTGCAAAAATTAAGTAAAACTAAATTTTACTCTAAAAAAAAGAGCCTCTAAACTGTATCAATTCTTCCTCCAAAACTATCATTCTAAAAACATTTTGTGGTATTAAATGCACATATATAGCTGTAAGAACAGTCAGAAACTTAATTGAAAATTTCCTAAACAGTGGTTAAAATAAGGAATCCAACTTTGACACGCTTTGCTTAACTTGTAATACATTTGCTCAAATCATTTGTACTCTGGAAATCTCTAGAATGTGGAACTGTCTCATTTATTTTTCAGCATTCATGACTGATACCTCTTCTTTAAGAAAGTAAGTTTTCTGTCTCCTCTCCCTTCATTCTGATATTTTTAGGTCTATTAAGACTTTTTTTGTAGTGCTGGGTGTGGAACCTAGGATCTCACACATGCCAAGAAAGTGCCTCACCACTGATCTACACTTTTAGCCTTCGTCCATCAAAACTATGTTGAGGAACTTCACATTCTAAAATTTATTACAGGAAGACAATAGCTGCATTTCCTACCCTCTTTTGTGCATGTAAGAGTTTGTCAGGGAAGAAAAAAACTGAATATTTGTGTTCAATCTTCACTAAATTGCCCCAGTTTATACCATCTTACTTTGTAATTATTTACTATAAACCTAATATATATATATATATATATATATATATATATATATATATGTTGGAGTAGTAGTTAGCACACATTACTTGGTAATAAAATAAGAGGAGATCTTTTCAGGTTACATTAAAATGCTGTTAACCAATTAAATAATATTACTTTTCAGATATGGTAAGCCATTAATGACATGTTTTACTAGTTCAAAGGTTAATCTAAATCAGCAAAATGACAGAAATGATCTAAATAAAATAGTTGAATATTATTGCAAAATAAGAGTCCTTAAGCATGCTTATGGTATACTTACAGTTATTTCTGAAGAATGGTGTTCATTGGCCTGTGCTTGTGGGCATTAAGTGATAACCCTAAAAGCAAATGTTGGGAAAAATGCAATTAGAATTCTATATATAAGGTGCTATTTAAGGTACTTACACTATTTTCACGTACTATAAAACATGATGCCATATAAGCCTACACATATAAAAAATTAACTGAAATATTAGTACAACAGTATATCAGTGTTCATCATTCTGATAAAGAGGAAATTAAACATCAGTTAATTATTCTAAATGCATCAGCAAAATTCTAAATAAAGTGTTATGTTTAATCACTATTTCACAAAAAAGAATGTACAATGCAGGGGTAGTTAAATGGTATTTGACTCATAAAGTGTTATTAGACTCTAGAAGATAAAATGTTTGAAAATCAGCATTTTAGTATTAGTTCTTGTACCAGTTTAAGTTGCCAGTACCTATCTGAAAATGGAAAAGCAAAATTGAAACAAATGTTAGCCAGCTATACTTTTTGTAGTATGAAAAATAAACACCATTCAATATGTTAACATTGAACATATTTCAAGCATGAAAAGATTTCTAAAACACGTGAAACATGACCCAAATATGCTAAATAAAGGAATAATAAAATATAAAGCAAATACTTCCATTCAGCCAAGAAAGTAAATTAAAGTGATGAGAAAATTAAAACATTGCACTGCAGTTAAGGATAAGACCATCGTGACACACAATATTGATCCATTCTACCTGTTGTAGCTCCCACTTAAGTTATTTTGTTTAATTGTGCAAATGCCCTTGTTGGGAATGAACCCACTGTGGCCAGACAACAGTGAAGAAGGTAATTACACCCTCCTAGTGGCCTGTTGTGATTAGTGTAATGAGGACAAAGGGAACTACAAATTTGATTTCTTCAGTCAGGTTTTATTTATTAGATTCCCTGATCCCTTTGTGGAAGACTGAAGTACAATAATAAAGCATTTGGGCTTTTTCATTAAAAAAATCATCTAATGGGATAATTTGAAAATTGTTTCCCAAGACTTGTCAACTAAACATAGTTTTTTCTGATTTCTGTAACACTTTAGTGTAGGTTTCTAAAACATGAATTGACTTTGAAAAAGTTTGGACCACTGTACCTTAGGTAAAATTAAATCTTTTCCTAACCATGTTGTTCCTTTAATAATATTTTGCATGTACTATACAATCCTTTTTTCCCTCTCAGCTAGTTATGAATCAAGGTATATGTTATAATAAACATTTTGTCATTTTTAGTTTCTCTCCACCTTACTGAACCATTATTTTTTAAATTCTCACAATGACTTTGATTTTTGTCCTTTTGTAGGCCAGTAACTCAAGATAGAAAAAAATCTCTGATCACAATCTTGCTCTGCATACTAACTCAAACACTATATAATTTTTCTACAAAAATGATGCATAGAGTATGTTTAAATTTCTCACATATAATGCTAATATTATAGACAGCTAAATTAGTTGGAAATACTATAAACAGCCAGATAGACCTAAGTCCTCCACAGGAGTCAGTAAAAAAATACATTACAGTTGCGGAGGAGCATCTGTTGGAGGCCAGGCCTCAAGACAAAGGAAGGAATGGCTGCACCTAAATACTTCCCCTAGCTATAAACAATAATCATGGATATTCTAAATAGGCCTCAGTCACCGAAATGGTAGGATAGGAAGAGTCCCTGACTCACCCTCTCTGGGAAAAGTTCTAGTTTGTTCCAAGAACAATTATGAAGTGACTTGCTTCCACATTGGAACAATCTCAACTAAACAACTATACTTGTAATCTTATTAGTTGACTGTAGTTTTGTCCTACCTTATACCCTATAAAAACTTCTTTGAGAAGTAGGGTCTTCCATCCACTCAGGACCTCTTCTCTCTTAAAAGTTGTCTTTTTTCCAATAAATGTCTCCTGCTCTTAACCTTTATTGTTTCTTAGAATTCATTCTTTGACTTTGTGGAACAGGAACTTGGTATATGGGACATCTAGCAGGTTGGAAGTGACAATAATTCCCTGATATTATTTGAAGGTCCTATACCATTCATACATCACTATTACTTTTGGCACTACTTACAATGGATTTATAGAGACATTCAGTCTAATCTTAGGACTGTTCAAAACAGATTTTCTTCTAGTTTTCTTACAAAAAATTATTGCTATTTTGCTTTCAACCCTTAGGAAGATATTATAAAATAGGCATTTCATTGAAAATCGTGCTCTAAAAGTCGTAAGAATCCTTAAAGATTTAATGGATACATTTGCTTTCTTACTTCTCCAATGATTGAAATAACAGGGCAAAGCAGATTTTGAAGTGGAATTGTCAACCGGGCGTGGCACACGTCTGTAAACCCCGTATTCTGGAGGCTGAGGCAGGAAGATCTTTGTGAGTTTGAGACCAGTTTGGACTACAGAGTGAGCTCAAGGCAAGCCTGAAGTGCATAATGAGACACTGTCTCAAAAATGAAAAAAAAAGTACATATAGAATTTGTCTTTCAAAGAAATGCCAATAATGAAGTGGTTTTATTGTCATTAAAATGCTAGTACTCAGTCCAGAGCATAATGAGCTATTTACAAAAAAGTTTAAAGTTCTTTGGCTATTCATACTCATTTAAAAACAAAGTGGCACTTTCTTTTCAGAATGAAAACAGAATCAGGATGGATTAGAAGGTGCCTTTTTACTGCCTACTTTGAGTACTCAAGAAATTACCACTAATGGATATAATTTACATGTAATGTGCATATTTTAAATGTAACATTCTGTTGGTTTTGGTAAATGCTTGCAGTAGTATAACAGCCATTTCAATGACAATACAGACACTTTCATTCTTCTCCTTCACCACTTTTTAATTTTTACCACTATGTTTTTGCCTGTTTGAGAAATTTGTATATATGGAACCATACAGTAAGGTTTCAATTTCTTCTACTTTCGGTTGCAAACTTTTTTGTTGTCTTTCACTGAATTTTATTTATAGGCTGTTTGAAGTGCATATAACCAATTTTCTTACCATGTGGATTTATTAGGTTTCCTGAGCTTTTGTTTCAAGTTACCACAGCCTCCTTGAAACTTCAATCATTGTTTAACAATGATACTGCTCTTTTTGTTTGTTTGTTTGTTTTTGGTACTGGGGATCAAACTCATGGCCTTGTGCTTGTCAGGCACTTATACCACTGAGCTAAATTCCCAGCTCCAAGATATTGCTCTTAAAATTGACTCTATGTAGTCAGGAGAACTTTGGAATGTGCTGTCAGCGACACCTGCAACAGTGATCAGAAATTCAGCAGAATCTGGCAAATCAAAGGAGCAATTACAAGACAAAACCATAGGAGAAAGCTTTCAAATACAAGATGGTGCCTTGTACATCATCTCGGTTTCAGCACAATGCATATAACAGATGTGCTAGTTTTTAGTGTGTATAATAATGAATTATACAGTTTCAAACACCTTTTTCAGTAACTTGAACGCTTCCTGTTTTGTTTTGGTTTTTGAGAGACAGAGTCTCTTTGTGTGGCCCAGGCTGGCCTTGAACACACACAACAATCCTACCTCACTCTTCCAAGTGCTGGGAATACAGGCATGCACCATGAAACTCCTGGCTATATTTTAGGAAAAAAGATTAAAATGTGTGTCTAGGGATGTTATTAGTAGGACCTATTTACATATTACAGTAGATATGAGATTTACTGTTTTAATAGGAAATGTATTGAATAATAGAGACAATGTTTTAATTAGGTCTCATTCTTTATACTTAGCTTTTATGCATTTTTTATTAGTGACAGCTGCTAAAATATATATCAAGCAAAAGCTTCTAGAAATGTGTTATGCTATACACTAGGACGTAATAATGCAAAATCAAGCTGGATGTGGTAGCTCATGCTTGTAATACAAGCACTCTGTGTGGTTGAATCAAGAGAATTGTAAATTCCAACCCTCCTTGGGCAATTTAGCTGTGTCTTGTTTCAAAACAAAAAACTAAAAAGAGGTTGAACTGTAACTCTGTGAAGATCTTGGATTCAATGGCCAGTCTTTTGGTGGTGGGAGGTGCTCCACAGGAGTTGTAATTTGAAAGAACTGTCTTTTATACTAGAGATTTAGGAAACAGATGGCATATTACAACTCATTGTTATATTCAATTGCAAATGACAATGCAACAAAAGTTTGAGAGGTGAATGTCTGCTCTTTGGAAAGTATACTTATATTTGGCAAATCATGATTGGATATAATGGAAAAAAAATTAAAAATAGGCTAGTAATTTAACTTTCCTGAATCTGAAATTTAGATTTTCCTAATCAATTGATTTTGAACAGGAGTACTTGAAGGATGAGTTCTTTTTTATTGATTTTGCGCTTTTGAAATAAATTTTCATAGTAAAGTAAGGATGCTAGAAGTTCAGATGCATTTCATTAGTTTCAGAAGTATGAAAGAATTAAAGATTTAACAGGATAAATCAAAACCTCATTGCTTTGATCTGATGACAAATTTTATTTGCTAACCTTTTTTAAGCTAAAATAAACTCTCAGATACCCTCAGCAAGCACATCTTTTAATAGTTCTCAGCTTCTCAGAATGAAGAAATCTACAGAGACAGAAAAGAGGATGTGTGATGGCCTAAAGCCTAATGTGCAGGAAGTATGGAGAGTAACTGCTAATGGGTATAAGATCTTTTTCTTGTTGTGTGTGTGTGTGTGTGTGTGTGTGTGTGTGTTCTAAATGGTGGTAGTTGTACAATTTGGTAAATACAATGAATTCCATGACAATACAACTGCTAAAAAATAATTTGATGTTGAATCCATTACCTCAAATGAAAAATCAGATTTCAAAATAGCCTTGAAAGACTGCAGTTATAAAACACTATTAATTATGTTAATTACTATATTAATTTCATATTGTAAAAGTTGAAGCATTTTATACATTTAAAATTCATGAAAAGATAGGTTTTAATTGAAAATAATAAGCTTAATACTTGATGCTCTGTATGTACATATAAAGTTATGTCAACACTTTGTTAGTGATGTGCAAGCTGGAGTAAAACATTAAAAAGAAAAAGTAAAATCAT